TCTTTTGGGATCTTACAAAGCTTCAAACGACGCATCGACTATTAAATTAGTCGTGACTAGTCGACTAATCGTGGCAGCCCTAATATACACTGTAGATTACTGAGCTTGGCTACAACACAGAACATCATTTTAAAATGAACAAGACCACATCGCCATAGCATCTGAAGCCAAAAGGCTGAAAGACAAGCCCAAAGTAATCTGCACTTCGAACAGGCAGCACTACTAGCCTGACTTTTTACATCCACTTCATTATAACATACAACCAACCTGGCTTCTTAATACTGTTTTTTCTTGCTTTTTAAAACTAACTCTGACTCCCAAACTAGTCTGGGAATCTAGTAACTGTTCAAGCTCTAGCCAGTTGCCTTGTAGATAGACAACGTCTTTTATATTCAGAAACGCAGCAACAGCTCACACATATATGGCCACTTTGCAGTACAGTGTTTTTTCCACTTCCAGGATGTTTGATTAATTCAAAGCTGGGTTGTTTAAGGGGGTTAACTAACCCTGTGTTAATCCAATTCAAAAATCCCATAGTTAGGAGTTAAAATAAAAACAAGCTCAATTTAAGATTGACTGGAAAATCTGGATTTCAGCATCATTACAACTTGAAATGAAGACATTATCCTCCAAACCCAGCAACAAACACAACAAAAAGACAGTTTTTACCACTTTCTTACAACCATGAATGCAAAAGTAGATGAAAATATGAAAACCACTGTATTAGTGTTACTTGAGAATTAATGGGTGAACCCCTTGAATTGTATTGCAACCAAGGCAATCTTCCTCTTTCCACGTTCTGTTTGCTGTTACGATGAGAGCAGGGGCTGTCGTTCGGCAGCAGAGCTCTGAAAAAGAAAAATATAAAAAAAAATATATATAAAATGCAAATATATTACAATTTAAAGTACTGAGAGAGGAACTGTGATGCTGCATGAGTAAGTCAGGAAAGGCAGTGAAGTATGTGAGGGTTGTTCAGGACATGCATGTAAGGAGTAGATGGAAGAGATCCTGGAGTGGTGGAAATATGCAACGGAGAGAAGAGGGATTTAAATTCACAGAGGACAAAATGCATGTGTATGAATGAGACAGATGCATATAGATCGATAAAGATGCAAGAAGTAGAGCTAATTAGGGGGAATGGGTTTAAGGTAAGTTAGAGAGGCGAGGCTGAGATGATTTGGACATTTAAAGGGGAAGGGTAGTGGAGATATTGGACAAAGGATTCTGAAGATGGAGCTGCCAGGCAGGAGGAAAAGAGGGAAACCTCACACAAGGATATAATGGAGGAGGGACATGCAGAGGATTGGTGTGACAGGAGAGAATACTAAGGATAAGGTCAGATGGAGGCAGATGATCCAAATACCTAAATATCTGATCAGACAATGGCCTGTATTTGTATAGCGCTTTACTTGTCCCTAAGGACCCCAAAGCGCTTTACACATTCACACAATCACACGGCAGCAATTGATTAGCTGCTGATGCTGCTCATGTTCAAACTGAACATCAAAAGGGGGGCAAAAGTTGATTCGAGTGACTTTGAACATTGCATGATTGTTGGTGCCAGTGGGGCTGGGCTGGGCATTTCAGAAAAATATCCAGTAAGCAGCAGTTCTCTGGGTGCACATGGCTTGTTGATGCCAGAGGATTGCCAAAAAAATGGCCAGACTGCTGCTAGCTCATAGGAAGGCAACAGTTTTTGCTCTGAATAGTCTTAAAATCTACTACAATATTTGAATTAGGGCTGCCCCAAACGATTATTTTGATAGTCGACTAGTCACCGATTATTTTTGC